AACCAAGACTCACAAATTTGCGGGTTAAACTTAGGAGGGTTCAAAGGATGACATGGATGGTAGTTCATGGCAGTTATGTTGGCATGATGCAAGGCTAACAGACATGGCGGTTATTGGCAGTTATGCTTGCCAGGAGCCATGACAAAGAAGGTTGAAATTAAGGATCTGGTCCAAGACAATCCTGGCGGTTACCAGCAGTTATTTTCTGCAGCAGCCTTTGTTGGTTTGAATTTACCCTAGTAGTTAGGAGTGTCAACTGCTCATAACTAATTTGTAAATGCCTTTAAAATGCCAAGGCATTGAGAGTTTCAGGTAGAGGGTGTAATATGTACGAATGCTCTTGTATCCTTATATTATCTGGTGGTAATAAAGGTTGGGAATGGTTGCTGTAATGTGTTTGTGTATGCTTGTTTGTTTACAAACCTCATTGTGAGTAATTCGTGCATGTTTGGTTGAGACTAAGTGCTACAACTTAGTGCCATTGCAAGCTGAAAATTTAACTCGAAAATTGAACTTGTAACAATAGTTATGCAAAGCCCAGAATGGTTTTATGAAGCTATTGATAGAACTAAGGAGCAAATTGAAAAAAAAATAAATAAAAAAATAAATGAAGTTTTGTAAAGAGAAGGTATGATTCAATTTGGAATATTATTAATGAGCACTAGCTGGGCATTGCAACTCCATCGGCCTCTTCATGTGGTGGGTTATTATCTTACTACTAGGTAACATTCTAATTCCATCTTGCGTTTCTTACATTTGATTTCTTGGAGAATTCTTATATCATGGAAATCTTTTTTTGGATTTCTTTTTAGGATTCATTATGATATTACCTTTAATGTGGTTATGGAAGTGAAAATAGGATTGTATAAAACCATTTAAAGGATGTATCCAGATCTTCAAACAAGGTTAAAACTTGATGCACAATTGGAGAAGTGTCATAATACCGTTGGTATGTTTGGAATAAATGTGGTGGTTATAGCAAGAGATGAGAAACATCCCGGTAATTTTCTAATTAATGTTTTTTTGTGAACTGATTTTTATGCCCAAACAATTATATCTCAATATTCTATTGCATTATTTGATTCTCCCTCTCTGCTTTTCTTTCCATATGGCACTATGGTCGGAGAGTTATTGAAGTGGTTGCAAACAAACTCCAACAATCAGACATAATTAGCCATGACTCATGAGAACATGTGCATTCATAAAAAAGCAAGTGCTTGGAACAAGAAGGATTTCTTTGCATATGGCACTATGGTGGGAGAGTTATGGAAGTGGTTGCAAAGAGCTCCAACAATTAGCCATAATCAGCCATTAAAATTCTATTTACATGTTGTGCTGTGGGATGTGAAAGAAATCCGTGTACTTTTCAACATGTGCATTCAAAAGAACAGAACTGCTTGGAACAACAAAGATTGAATGCACTATTGTTTGTCAAGTACAATTCTTTTTTGGAGCTAAGGCAAACGAAAAGGGAAGAAAAATGGTGATGCTTATGATCTTATTTGCCTCTCAGATATGGAATCTGATGATGAATGGATCACCGAAAGAGAAGACCCATGCTTATCCGAAGCGACTCATGGATGGATATTAGTGAATGTTTTGAAGTTAATGAGGGGGAAACTAGTGGAAAAAGAGGATTAATTTCATAACCTTCTAAAAAATAGAAAATAAGTTACTCCACTAGGGGCTCGCTGTGCCAAAAGTGAGAGAAATCCCATCCCTCTCTTTCCTTTTTTCACTCTTTTGTATAAAGTTTGAAAGCTTGCTATTTTAATTCTTAAATGAAAGGCAAAAAGAAGGTGATTGAAGAGAATGGTGTTGTTGAAGTTGTTGAAGATGATATAGAGGAAGATTGTATTGATGGTGATGGGATGCTCGTGGAAGATGATGTGGGTGATGGTCTCATTGATATTGATTTGATGGATGATCTTTAAAAAAACATGGTTATTGAACTTGCGACTTGGTTTTGTTACTATGTTGACTAACTTAACTATACTATTTCAACACATTTCATAGTGATGCGAGTATGTGATATGTGGTGGTCCTAGTGAAAATTTGGATTGTAAGTGCTTGATTTTGGCACATACTATATGGTTTGAGTGGAGACTAGGAATTTGTATCTTCAAAGTGGCGGTCCAACCCTTTTGAGGGCCTAAGGCAAAATTTTAAATTGAGGTCTTTTGTTATTTAAATATTAATAATTTTTTTTAATATTTTATGTTCCTTTGAAATTATTTTTCTTGTTTTTGTGATGTAATTAACAATTAATCTTTTTGTAAAATAGTTTTTCTAATGTGTCTTTTTCAATTGATAAATTGATTAATTCACCCATTATTCTTGGGACATAGTTGATCGTAGGTATGATTTTATCAATTTTAATTTTGAAAGTTTTCTTTTTTGCAAAAACAATTGTTATGAGTATTGTTAATAATATGTTGTAAACAATACATGTAATAGGAAAATAATTTAATTATTTTGATATAATTATATATGCCAATTATTGTATTTCCTTTTTGTTTTCTTCGTATAAATCATTTTAAAACTTTTAATTTAGAAATAAATCTAAACCATCAATATCAGAAAAATACTTTTGTTTCGAAAAACTTCAAGATTAAAACAACATTTTCCTGAACTATCATTGGGTGGTGATTTTAACGCTTCAAATTAAATAGAAATAAAAATGACCTCATATTTTCAAAGTTGTTCAAACTTACTCTTAATTAAAGAAATAGTTAGATATACTATATATATGAATAATTACTTCTAAAAGATTTTTCAGACTTTGTGCTTTAAAATGTGCATTTGTATAAAAGCAATAAGGGCCTTTTATTAGAATTTTTCAACTTAATTGAATCTTATGTACGCTCCACAAATCAAGATCGATGAAAGTAGTTCTCCATAAGCCTCAAGAAAGAGAGAAAAACGACTCATGAGACAACAAAAATTTCTCCTCTTGAATCATATTGAGAGTCATTCATGAGGGTTGAAACTTGAAAGCAATTTCCAAGAAAGGGGATGCTTGAATTGGTTGCAAATTAAAAGATATATTAGTTCTATATAATGAATGTTTAATTCTTACAAGTTGCAATATATTTGTAGTTTGTATTATAATACCTATTTTTTCAACTTATATTCTGATATATTAATGTATTTTATGATACGATATGATACGCAATACATAAAATTGGTACGACAATACACGATCCACAATACATATCATGATTCTACAACATTGATAAGTAGGACAGAAACTGAATATATGGGATGTAACTTAAAAAATAGAACCCACCTAAAAAACTTCAAAAAAAAAAAAGGTAGAAATTGTGGAGAAGTGAAGATTGAAAATCAGGAGATACCAAATAGTGAACAATTTCATTACCTAAGTTTGATTATTAATAAGGATTTAGAGGTTGGTGATAATGTGACTCAGAATCAGTGTTAGTTGGCTCAAGTGGAAGAGTGCTTATGGCATATGGATACCAACAAAATAGAAAGAATTTTTTTATGTAACAACTGTGCGGTCAACAATGATTTTCAAGATATAATGTTGAGAAAATAACAAACAATACGTTAATAAACTGAGTTTTTTAAAGATGGATGTGCAATATAACTAGGAAAGAAAGATAGAATTAAAAATATGTATTTGTGAAAATTAGTAGTTGCATAAATTAAATTTAAGTTGACGGTACAGAGGATAGACTGAGATTGTTTGGTGATGTACAATGAAGAGCAGTAGATGTAATGGAAAAGTAAAGCGTGATCATTGTAAATGGAAATGGTATGGGGATGGGAAGACCTAAATTGATATTAGATGTTGTGAAAAAGGATTTGAATGTATTAAATTTAACAAAGCATATAGCCTTTGATATAGCAGAATGGCAGAAAAGGATTCATGTAGCCGATCTCAATTGATTGGGACATAAGGCTTGGCTTGATCATTTTGTTGGAGTTGAAGATTTTATTTGCTGCTGCAAAGTTGTTGGGGCTATTAGGATTTGAATGCCACATAGGTTATGTTCTAGGTGTACTTGAATCATTTAACTGCAGGTGATTCCTGAAGGCATTTTAATGGCCCTTATGGTTTGGAATATTGGATTTATTTTATTTTATTTTATTTTTTTGATAAATAAATTTTGTATTTTGTGAAGAGATAGATACATGATTGCTTTTTCTGGAAGTAAAACTACAAAAATATGTTCGTTGTTGCCATTGTTACAATTTTCAGGTAGGCGACATATTAGTGCTTCTTCTATTGAGTGTAATTTCTTGCTAATGTGATCATTATATTGAATTCATTGAATACATACATATAGTTTATGTTTCATGCATTGCAAGAAAATAGTCTTGTGAAGCACGCCTATGGTTGAAGAATGATCACAAAATTTAAATAATATCTGCAGGTTATCTTTCTGAAGATATTTTAATTGTTAAAGCTTCGATTTTTCTTGTTACTAATTTGACCAAAGTACCAAATCATCTGCTTGATTTCTGAATTTCAATAGACCTGAGAAAAAAGAAAAATGTATTAAGAGAGAGAGAGAGAGAGAGAGAGAGAGAGAGAGAGAGAGAGAGAGATGAAAGAAACTAGTGAAGAATTTTCTATTGCACTCCCAAGATTGGTAGGGTTACGGTGTTTGATTGATAACAAGTTAATATGAACCCATTTCAGGAACAAACTACAGTTGATGGTAAGCATACTCCTCTGACATCCAGTGGCTTAAAACATACTGCCCGAGTATGTCTCTGACCATGTTGGCTATGAGATATGTTGCTAGCGTGCTACCACTATGAACACTGAGATAATATTTCTATCGTGCCACTATGATGAATGCTACCTGTTATTCTGCCATTGTGCAGTAAATATTTTATCGTATAGTGCTGACTGCTGGGCCAAATTAGGCATTTGAGTCGTTTCAATTTTGATCTGTAATTGCTATATTTTATTCTCTGTAAAACCATTCCATTTTATCTTTAACCACTTCTTTTGCATATAAAAACAGGCACGGCAGGCTTACCTATTTGGTAACAAGGCTTTAGCAAAGGAACTCACTGTGAAAGGGCAGGTACACAACATGCACCTGAGGGCAGCTCATGGAAAAGCTCAAGAATCTATTTTTCGTCAGAGGTTTGTTGTCTTTTTGTCAGAGGTTTGTTGTCTTGTGCCTGCTCTGAGACCATTTGGCTGTCTTGGAATGGGATTAGAATTGGGTGTGGTCAGCATTAGCTGATTCATATATTTTTACTAACATTAATTCTAAAGTCAAATAACCTAGAATTTAATTTTTTTGGTTCGCTATCCATGCTCACTCCTTATTCTTTGCCCTTTGTGTCATTTTGGTCTTTGTGTTTTCAATTTGCTCGATTTTGATTCTCGTTGTTAGATTTTGTGTCAATATGGTCTGATCGATAACAACTGTTGGCGTTTTTAACGGAAAATGGTCATGTGCACATGTGATAATTTTTCAGGGATAAAATGAATATTTCATTTCCCATCCCTTTTCTTCATTTTGACCGTCTCCAACTTACCGCCAGACACCCACCGCCACCGTGCACCTCCTCTACCCACTACCACCACCAAACACCAAGCATCCATCACAACCAAACAAGAGCACCAATCAACCCACTGCTACCCAATAACACCACCTGCAACATACAACCATCAAGATCAAAATCCACATTAAAACGAAATAAGAAGATTAGGGGAAGAGGATGAAGGAGAAAGATGGAGCTTAGGTCCTCATGGTGGCTGCAAGTCCTTACGATCTGTAGTGACGGCGGCGGCGGCAACAGGCTTTATGTTAGTGGCAAGCAACCCGCTTGGCCTACCTTCTTGGGCTACTGTCCGTCTTCCTTTCTACACCATTCCTCAGCATTTGCCAACACCTCCCGCCTCCTCCTTTAGCCCTTCCCTAAAACCTCCAATGCCTCCCCTTTCTCAATCCTCTTACCTGACCCCAACCGTTCGCCTCCCTCCCCCTTCCCCTATTTGATCGTCATCCTCTTACCCCCTTCTTAGAACCATTGCTTCTCTCCTTCAAATGCTAGCTTGTCACCTCCCTCCCCCGCCAGCCAACATCAAAATTGATCCCATTGTCAAATTGGATGAGATTTATATTTTAGGTTAACATTATTAGTCAACTCACATTTGAGTTAACTCATTGAGTTTGTTTAAAAAATAGGTTATATATGCAAAATTACTATTTTACCCCTAGAAATAGGGAGCGTGTGGCTCACATGCATTATTTTTGTCAAAAAACAAATTGACGTTATTGATTGGACCAAAATGAGAGGAAACCACAAATTTGGGGTCAAAATCAAGTAAATTGAATACACTTGAATCATTTTTGTCAAATTGCGAATGGAAATGTGAATTATTTTGCTAAATTTATGAGTCGTTAATTGTAGGCATAATGTATAGCGTTATATATATATATGTGTGTGTGTGTATATACATTTAAATTGCGTATATCGATATAATTAATTGATATCTTTTTCTTTAATTTAAAATTTTTAAATTATTATTATTTTGTAAAAATGACGTCATTTCATGCATTATGCAAATATAAGTGAATCGCAATGAATCGTAGTGAATCGTTGTTGATTTGATTCACTTAATTTATACACCACTAATTGAAACATTTTAGTTAAAACTTTTATCAAATTGTAAATTGTAAATTGTAAGATTCTAACAATCATGACAAGGATCAAGATGACACGAGGCAAAGTGTAGGAACCACCAGCATAATTTTCAATTTAAAAAAAAAGAAAAAAAAAAGTTGAATGTACAGTATTGTCTTGCTGAGATGTGTGAAGATGCGTGTTTGTATTTTAATGAAATAGGCTGTTAATGCAAAGGAATGATGTCGGTGCTGTGTCCATATGAAATCCATTACTTTTAAATGCTAGCAGTTCCAATTATTCAGCCCATATATTCCATTTAGTCTAATGATGTTGTGGTGTTCATTTTGGGTTGTTCTTAATTAATTGTTTTGCAGAAACCCAGTTAATCCTGAAATTCAGGGCAATGGAAGAGGTGGTGGACAAGAGAGGATGATAGACCTGCATGGGTTACATGTGAGTGAAGCCCTTCATGTCCTAAAGCATGAACTGGCGCTTTTGAGGAGCACAGCTAAGTCAGTGGAGCAGCGGCTTCAAGTTTATGTATGTGTTGGAACGGGCCACCACACTAGGGGTTCTCGCACTCCTGTAAGACTTCCGATTGCTGTCCAGCGCTATCTGCTTGAGGAGGAGGGCCTTGATTACTCGGAACCACAGCCAGGACTTCTCCGGGTTGTGATATGTTGAGTTGAGTTTTGGGAAGTTTAGGAGGATGTTTCTTTTTTGACAACAGTGTAGCCCAGGAAATCGGTCATGAAAAATTCTTGTATCTGTATAGTGGATGAGGAATCAAAAGAAAGAAGAACGTCTCAAAAGGGCCAAAAAAAAAAAAAAAAAAAAAAAAAAAAAGAAGCAAGGCGGAAATGTATTATTAATGTTTAATCAGTCAATAGTGGAATTACATTATGGTAGCCATTGGGATCTACATCAGAGCTGGTCTTTTGTAATTTTGTTTTTTAAATTTCAGATGTAACTGATAGAATTCGTTTATATGATAGCTCAATTTCACATGCATGAAATGTCTCTATGAGGGTTTGACATATTGGAAATTGATATTCAGATTCATAATTGCAGGAGGCTAAGTGGCATCTTCTGCCAAATATCTGTTTTGTAGAAGATATATAATGTTTATGTTCTCCCTTTACAAATTCTAATGATGTGAGTAGCAAGTTTTTCAAATATTGATTTTAACTGCAAAATCCCAAATCGGAAGCCTTGCTTTATCTGTTTCTTTCCCATTATCTCACTGCCGTGAGGTCTTAAATCTGGGATTGAGATTCTCTACACAATCATTATTGAGATGATCTTAGCCTCCGTTTGGGAAGTGGGTTAGCTTTTTGGCTTTTTGGCTTTTTTAGCTATTTTAGCCTGGGCTAAAAAGCTTGGTTTGGGAAGAACTTTTGGACTTTTTGACTTTTTTGACTTTTTTTGTGAGAGAAGAGTGTAATGATTATGGGTTGGATGTGATGTTTTGTTTGTTGTGGCTAAAATAGCCTATTTTGTCTTTTGTGGCTATTTTAGCCCAATCTTGCTTGCCAAACGAACCCTTAATCTCGCAATTCTGCCTCTTTTTTTTTTTTTTTTTTTTTTAATTTTTTAATTTTTAAAATTTTTTTTATTGGTAAAAGTCAGGTATTAGGTTTCGTTTGGGAACATGCTAATTTAGTAACTTTTTGGTTATTTGGCTAAAATATAAGTTAAAAAAAATTAGAATGTTTGGGATATTTTTTGATTTTTTACGAAAAGATGTGTAAAAAGTAAAGAGAAAAGTGAATCTTTGATTTTTTAGTATGGATTGTTGGTTTTTTGATTTTTTTACTAACTTTAACTTTTTGGCTAAAAAAATCTCTTGTCAAACGAGGCCTTAGTTGTTAGATAAGTACTATGAGAATTAGTTTTCTCACCTTTTGCAAAGCACACGAAGTGTTTGTCTCCTTAATGCAACTCCTTAGTCCTTAGGAAAATCATGGTGACCAATTAAGTTAGACCCAGCTGATTAATCTTGTAATTCGACTTACAATGATATGTTATTAGATGTATTAATTTTTAATTTATTATACATCCAATGATATAAGTTTAAATTAATATTTCTCTTGGTATAATATACATAGATAAATATAGATAGATGCACAAACTTCTTATTAAAAATTTCACTTGTGTACAAATTTTATTAGATATTTAAATATTATTATTATTACAATCAATTATATTTGACGTTTTATAGTTTTATTAAATTTTTTAATAAGAATGTTAATCTATATTGAATTATTCCTTTTTTACTTTGCGAAAATATCAAAAAAATAAAAAGTAAAAAATTAATTTTAAATTCATAAAAATACAACACTTATTTTTATAATTTAATATATAAATCACTTGTACTTTTATGAGTTCGTAATTATTTTTCTAACTTTCTATTTTTTTTTTTTTGGTTGATATTTTCCCTTCTTTTTGTTTGGTATAGTAATTTGGTCAGGCTGTTATATAGAAAAAAAAAAAAAAGAGGCTATCACAATAATTTACCTCATATCCTACTTGATATATCATTATAATTTTATTGATTATATATTCGTCATTTTTTATTTTTTCTCTTATATAATAGATAAACTAATCAATACAATTCAAAGGACGCACATAGTTGAAAAAAAAAAAATTGTTTGGTTATAAATTTTAAAAAGGGTTTCGAATTGAATTTTTCATTTTTAATGTGACATATGAAATGAGAAAAGTTATTTGATTTTGAATTTTGAAAAAAAATTTCAAAACTTAATTCAACATCTTATAAGTCATAACCAAATATATAATTCAAAACTCTATTGAAAGTTCAATTAAAAAAAATAATGTCATTTTAGTCTAAAAAAATAATTTTTATATTTAAAAAATATAACAAAACAAATATAATTTGGTTTTCTTCCAAATAACAGGTGGCGATTAACAATTACAAAAAGAAAAAAGAAAAAAAGTAATGTTCCGGTTAACTGGCCGGACATCCAGGAGAATGTCAGGGGAACGAGTGAACAGACCCAAAAATTCAAAACTTGTATGGGAGGACGTCCGGGCAGACGATTGGATAGATAAAAAATTTAAAAACTGTTTAGTTTATCAAATATGTTTTCAAAATATGTTTTAATATTAATTTGAAATCATAATTTAATAGCTTAAACTAAACATAATATTAAAATATAAGGGTGAAATTAATTTTCCAAACATGGAAAACAAAACACTCCTCGAGTTCGGATCCTCGGCCGCATCTACCTGCGGCGCGTCTGCGGCACTTTTTAAAACGACGTCGTTTTGTTTAGTTTAAATATATATATATATTTTTTTCCAAATATTTTCATGTCCCCCTCTTTTCTCTTCTGTCATTTCATTTGCTCCACAACCCACTTAACCTAACAGAGAGAGAGAGAGAGAGAGAAGAGACGAACTAAGAGACGAGGAGAAGCGGAGTGACGCGACGGCAAACGCAGAGGATGGCGGGCGACGGTTACTCCGGTGGCGATGCGACTGCGGCAAGGCGAGATTGCGGCGGTGACGAAGTCCCTTTATCTGAACTCATTTGTTCCTGTTATATATATATATATGATTTCTTAGGTAATATATATATATGATTTCTTAGGTAATATATATATATGATTTCTTAGGTAATATATATATATGATTTCTTAGGTAATATATATATATGATTTCTTAGGTAATATATATATATGATTTCTTAGGTAATATATATATATGATTTCTTAGGTAATATATATATATGATTTCTTAGGTAATATATATATATGATTTCTTAGGTAATATATATATATATATATATATATATGAATTGTTAGGTAAAAAATTGTTGTTGATTTCGGAAATGGGTTTGATAAATGGAAAAGAGAAATGAAATGGATTTGACGATGTCTATTCTATCAAAGATCTAATTTTATTCGTAGCCTAGTTTAATAAGCTGATTGTTCATAACCAAAAAAAATCACAGAGGACAGATTTTTTGTTATTTGATTTCTTGGGTTTGCTGGTGCCTATGCTTTGTTGTATTAAGTTGTTGAGAAATCAAAGTAAAACCTATATTTTGATTTTAAAAGACAAAGATCAGAAGGGGTTGTTGCTCATGAACTAGGACAATTTGTTGTTGATTTGTGAAATGGGTTTGATAAGGACAATTTGTCTCACCGTCGTCTCTCTATCTTCGTCTCTCGCTGCCTAGATTTCGTCGCTTCTCTCGTCCAGATTGTTTAGCTCTGTTCGTCTCTCTCAGATCAAAAACGATAAGGGCCTGAAACGAAGAAGAAGAATAAGAAAAGAAAAAAAAAAAATCAAAACGACGTCGTTTTGATGCGCGGCGTAGCCCATAGAATAGCCCATCACCTAGCTCGACCCAATTTTCACATAAATTACCCTCTCAATTGCCCCTTAATTTCATTTGCGCAGCATGATTGGGATTACCTGTTACCAGCCGAGCTAAAAGCTTTAGCTTGTCAACCGAGCTAAAAAACCTTAGCCTTCCAACCGAGCTAAACTCACACCGGGCTACTTTAATATGCCCGGTCAAAAAACGTCTCTTCAATCTTTGTAACTGAATCGTTTTTTATTCCAATGACACGTGACACACCCTTATTGGCCCAATGTGGCTGTCACGTCGCCCTCGTACCTCGCGATATTTGAACAGTCCCGCCCAAAACTTGAGCTTTTCACCAAAACCCTACTTTTCGAATCATTCACTCGTACTATGCACCTTCTTCTCTCTCTCTGAGTCTCCATTCCTGCCTGACCCTGCATTTTGCTGAGTTCGTGTTTTCTGTTACCATTCCTTTCATCTTTAGTACCCTCGCCTTGAACTGGTATGTTTGCTCAAATTGATTTCCTTTTTGTTGATTTCACACTTGTTTGCAACACATAATATGCGTATTTGTATGTTTTTTGCAAAACACATATTCCATCTTTGCTTCCATTTTTCTAGGAAAAATCCATGTAGTAGAACCTCGAATAATCTGAGAAACACTGATTTTGATCCAAAATTACATTTCAACCGAACTAAAAATTTGTTTGCCTCGGTTGCATGCCTTGCTGCACCTAACAACCGAACTATAACTCCACACTATACTTGTAGTTTCCATATGTTAGGTACCTTTAGCTTCATCTAACCGAGCAATCGAACCGTACTACGTTTGCGCAATACCGTACTTAAAAAGCCTTAACCTCCAACCGAGCTACAACTTGGGCCTAAACTAGCTTCCTCAGTACAAACCGAACTAAGAATGCTGCCCCAAAGGCTTAACGGGGCTAAAAAGCCCCTTGCTTAAATCGAGCTAAAAACTGATAGCATCTTGCGTAGTCGAGCTAGGACTTCATTTATCTTGCCCTTGTTTTTTGTAACACGGTCCAATGATCAGTGCTTAACACATTTCTTTTTTACTTTGCAGACTTAGGTTGGTCAGGCACTCCTCTGATTGCTTAATCGAGCTACTAGGCGCCTTTTCTTGACCGAGCTAATCCTTCAGCTAATTTATTGATAATTTAATAATCAATGGGTAAATATAAGTTTTTAGTAAACTCACCAAGGGCCATAGCCGAATTCCGTAAGGTCTACCAAATTCCGGATGATGTCCACTTTTCACTAGCCGAACTAGACACCGTCTCCTAGGAAAAATAAGGCTTTGTCCCTTTTAACGTTATTTTTATCATAGAGTGCGATCTGCGATTCCCTGTACAACCCCTTCTTTGTGAATTTCTTAGACAAACCAAGCTTTGCCCTACCCAGCTTTCCACCAATTCTTATCGCATAATAAACAGCATTGCCGAGCTAAACCGCCGGGTTGGCCTTAATCTCGGTCTAACTGAGCTTTTCCATCAATACTCCATAGGATCGGCCGAAGATGGGTGGGTTTACTATTTAAGAATAAGGCGCGGCGTGAAAAAATAATATAGAATACCCCGGATAAAGACGTGAATGATGATGATTTCTTCTGGGTATCTGGGAATTTTGAGGACCAACAAGCCCAGATCCCTGGC